GAAAAGATGAACTATCAATTACAGCTTTGATTCACGGTTTCAAGTCCAAATGAATCAACAACTGTAATCCACTTCTTCTCTATATAATTGTACACATAACTTAAAAAGGAAAATCCCATAAATCGGTTAGAGAACTACATTTTCCCCCTTAAATAAGCTTCTTCTTCTCAAAGAAGGACTTCAAATGCCATAGTTGAAGTCCCGCAACCGAGAGGCAAACGAGAATAGATAGAAAACTGAACCAAAACATTTTGGAGTTAGTAGACCGGTTTAGTTCCTGCATCTCCTCCTCTCTGCAAAAATAACACAAATGCAACCAAGTGAGAACTCGGGCATTCAATGTATGATGTCATTCTATGAGAACAGTGACATGGAAAATCAATTCAGAAGACTTTAAGTTGGGTCATACCTTTCACGAAGATAGAACATCTCGTCGTGAATGGATTGTACTGTATCGAACATTTTCTTCAGCTCTAGTTCCATTAACTGCAAAGGCAGCCAGAGGAGAAAATTTTCAAATCAAGGATTTGAGCATTTTAAGCGCGTGCCTGAGTGTGTGCACTGTATGTCTACAAGCAATAACAATAGCAACAGTAATTATAATAGCACAAGCTAAAAAAAACAAGTTATGCTGTTAGGCCTCGTTTACTTAAAATGATGGGATTGGACAATTTAATCCCATCAACTTTACACGTCAGCTTGTGTCCAATGTATACAAAAAATGATGCATTTTAAGGCATAAACAATCAAGCGTTTATATGAGGTGGCAGCAAAATATATTTATATGGCCTAAATCTGTAATTTGGTGGACTTCTAAGGGTAAAACGGACATTTCACATGCCAATTTTTGGACAAAATGGTCATTTCTAAGGTGGGATTAAAATGTCCCACCCTCAGGACCGGACGAAATAATCCTGACATTCGTGCATGAAAGTGTGGGACCCACAGGACACCAACTTATTATCCATTCCCATCATGGTTAGGAAACGTTGGATAACAGGAGTTATCCAACCATATCACTATCCTATCAGCTTAAGAAAATGAGGCCTTAGTGATATACTAGTCAAATTGAAGTGTAAATAGAGCAAAAGTACATGGGCTTCCCAGCACAAATAGCTTAAATCACAAAGGCAAACGAGAAAGAGGGAGAGAGATGTAATTACTATGCCCAAACACAAGTCAATGAAGAAAAAATACATATAAGTCGAACACAGGGTATTAAAAATCCATAAATGATAAAATCTAGCTGAAGTCCAAAGCTGCACATTTCACTGTTGAGGTAGCCATTAGAGCAATCATAGGACAAACAACAAGGAAGAATATATTTCACCCAAGTAACACGGCCAATTTCTTCAACAAAATTTCATGTTACTTGCACACGTCAAAAGCGCCCGAATTTTGTCATCTCGTACATAACTAACAAACTCTTAGCATTACACAAACTTTAGCACTCGAGTCAAACTACCTAACCAACTAATTGAGAAACCAAAGTCCAAAACCATTAACTACACACAAACACAATCTAACCATAGAAGTTAAGTTTCCATCTATCAACCACACAAACACAACCAAAATGAGGTAAAAAAAAATCAAAGTATAAGCAAACAATTACTTACTTCAACAGAACCCTTTTTGGCAACATTTGTCCAGTCCTTGGAAGCAACACCCGATTTCCAATCGAAGTCAATGGTCAAGGTAGTCGCAGGTTTGTGATCAGACGCAAAAAAGCAAGCCATGTAGTCACCAGCCTCGACTGTTTGGAATGCGAAATGTCCCTCACTCACATGATCCGAATTGTGATAGCTATTTCCATATGAAGATGTCACCTGCATATTAAACGGGCTTAAGAGAAATCAATCCATGACAGTAATCAACCACCAATTTCTTTTTTGTTTTTACAAAAAAAAAAAAGAGAATAAAAAAACAAAAAGAAAAAAAAAAATGTCACTGAACAAATAAAGGATGACTTTTTTCCCAGAAATTTTCAGTTCTTAATCTGATTTGTAATGTAAAACCTTTTGAATAAACTTAGTTGCACAAAATCCGCCTTGACAGTAGACAGTATATTAATTCATTTCAATGCAAAAGAAAAAATTCCAAGAACAAGTAAGTAACAGCACCAAAATTCAACCAAAAAAAAGTATATTAATTCATTTCAATGCAAAAAAAATTAATTCCAAGAGCAAGTAACAGCACCAAAATTCAACCAAAAAAAAGTCAAACGTATGAGTAATTTTTCATCTTTTCACCAAAACAGGAAATCGGACTAGAAAAAGGATGCTGGAGCCTGGAAATCATGTCAACTTCACAAAGATAACACTCTTAACACTAACAACCTCAACTACGATCAATCTTAACACTATCAACCTCAACTACGATCAAACCAAACGCTGAAACTCTTTGAATAAAGAACCGAACTTTAGAGTATCAATGAATTAAAAAAATTACCCGGACAGTGATTTTATGAGAGTCAGGCAGAGGGTGCCCTTCATTAGGGTTTACGATATGGTACTTCCCAACAGTCATAGAATTGCTCTTGATGTCCTCCGATATGCATTTGGTGTGGCCCGACTCCAAATCGAACCGGATCGACTCGACCCGAGTCCATAACAACAACGACACAGAAATCAAAACAGGGATTAGACTATGCTTCTGGCACAGAGTATTCATATCAAATATGACCAAATCTAAAGCGATGAGGATTTCTTATGTCTAGGATTTCTGGTGGGTTACACTTTAAAATTTTGTCGGGCAAAAAATGGATGACCTGATTCTTTCAATTTTAACAAGAGGTGCAAACCCAGAAAACGCAACAGAAAACGCAAGGTTGCGTTTGATGCTTTTTTTTCTCTCTCTCTCTCTTTTTGTATTTAATTGTATTTTTATTGGATTTGTCAAATCCGATCGTAAATTCATAATTGTGTCGAAAAATAGTATATTGTCCAATCAGTTTACTCCACGTATGACTTTGGCTCGTCCGCTGAGGTCGTGATCTATTTTGGCATGTTTTTATATATTCCATGGGTATATATTAACTAGTACAGAACCCGTGATGCACGGGGTGCATAATTTTAAGGTTATTTATCCAGACTTATAATTATATACATGAATAAAGAAAAATGTACGGGATATATATAGTACGTGACCCGTGCGAGGCACGAGATATATATATTTGAGGAATACTATATTATAAGATGCAATATTCAATAAAAGTTTTATAATACGCAGGAAAATTGTACAATAAGATAGTATTCGACAAACAAACAATCATATATTATTAAAGACCTCCTTGTGCACAACATTATGAGTTTGATTTTTCATACAATAATAATAAGATTTTTTTGTAAAAAGATAAGAAAGAATTTCAATCTACACAACTTTAGATGTATTTACGTAAATCAATGACTATATAGACAACTAAACCCTTCAATTTAGGCTTGACATCTACTTTATTTATGGGTGACGTAAAATAAGGATTTAATTTTGACCGATTAAATCTTTATTCATAGGCTTGACATATAAAACTGATTTGAAGGGATTTTCTTAACTAAATCGATGCTATGTGATAAAACAAATCTATACTAACCTTTGACTTTTCCGGCAAAGATAAAAAAATCGGTTCTGATTTTTACCCCATAACAAATCTTTAATGTCAAGCCTATAAATACCAAAACAAATTTGTAATTAATATCATTCTATTTCCAGCAAGCATTAATTATCTTTGACTTTTCTGCCTACTATTTCTAGTAAATAGGATGACTTTTTATATAAGTATAGATTTCATATAATGCAAAGACTGAGATCATAAAAAAGAATCCTAGAAACTGAAACAATATATGTGCATAATTTAAGGCCATTAAGAAATCAATCTCTAAATCAGATTTGATTTTCAGAATATGTTTTTTTTATTTCGAATTCCATACAAAATAGAATTCTTTCCAACCAATAGACAACAAATATTAACTCTTAACTATTAGACTATTAGTACATACCGAGCAAATTGTGTACTGATTTTAGAAAGTTAAAACGATTCATGTTAGGTCATTTTACATTTTATGCATGTTGAATGGTGGGTTTTAAATATTGTTTCATAGAATGTAAAAGTGGATTATATTATTTTTATGAGATGTTGAATTTGAAAATTAATAGAATTCTTCTTCATAGGAATTTTAAATGTAACAATATTCTTTGGTATACACTACTAATAAAATCTATATTTAAAGTTTATATTTTTTTTATCGGAAAAAATTCCTTAATTTGAGGAATCATATATCTTCAATCAGTCACATCTATATACATTCTTCACAATTTTAAATCTTGAATTTGATGAGAATTCGTATATATGAGTGCAAAATATGGTTTAACAAATTAATTTTTTATTATTTTTCCAGCCATATACGATTTTTTGTGAAAATACAAAAGTAAATTCTTAATTATAAATCAGCCGTACATTAAAGAGTACAAATTTGTTGAAATTACAAAAGTAGTTTTTTACTTTTAAACAGACATAAATTTAAATCAGTCATAAAAAAGTAATATTTGTTTACCACTTAAATATTAAATCAACCTTAATTAATGTTGTTTGTTTTAGTTGCCACGATTTTCTCCAAACTAAATTAACAACTGCCATGATTTAAGGGCAACATTTAATGCTGCTCTATTTTTAGGAGACATTAAATGTATTTGGCGGGAAAAACTTGCTAAAAGAGTTAAATGGTTAATCTTTTAATATAATGATAGATTTCATAACCCTTGTTTAGGTAGTATTCAACTCGCGGTAATGGAGCTGTCCCATTGGCTGTTGGCTCCGTAATGTAGCCAACAGTTGGCTCCTTAGTATTTCTGGTATTCAACTCGCAGTAATGTTAAGGAGCCAACTGTTGGCTCCATTAGGGAGCCAACAGCTAATGAGACAGCTCCATGTGGAGCTGTCCCAATGAGGCATGTAGGACAGCCTCACATGGAGCTGTCTCATTGGCTGTTGGCTCCCTAACATTGGAGGCATGTAGGACAGCCCCACATGGAATTGTAGCACANTATAATGATAGATTTCATAACCCTTGTTTAGGTAGTATTCAACTCGCGGTAATGGAGCTGTCCCATTGGCTGTTGGCTCCGTAATGTAGCCAACAGTTGGCTCCTTAGTATTTCTGGTATTCAACTCGCAGTAATGTTAAGGAGCCAACTGTTGGCTCCATTAGGGAGCCAACAGCTAATGAGACAGCTCCATGTGGAGCTGTCCCAATGAGGCATGTAGGACAGCCTCACATGGAGCTGTCTCATTGGCTGTTGGCTCCCTAACATTGGAGGCATGTAGGACAGCCCCACATGGAATTGTAGCACATAAAAATAATAATTTTCAGTCAATTTGTTGGTAAGGATCTCTCAAAATTATATTATTTATTAAAAATTATGTCATAAATATAGTGATTATATGTAAGTTATGCAATTTATATTTATTGTTCATTTTTACTAAGTGTTAAAATTTTTAAGTATGATGTACTCATTATCTAACTTATAACTTTAAATCTTATATTCATAAATATAATGTATAATATTTTATTTATATATTTGCATGTGCACATTATCGACTACTAATTTCTTTAACAAATTAGAAAATTGTAGTACTATTTTAAAATTGAAATGTATATAAAATAATCGTAAAGAAAGTTGACTAGAGTAGTACCTTAGAACACAATAATTGAATCTAAAAAGGTTCTCTCGTTGGAGAACCTTCTTTCTCTCGTCGAAGAGCTTTTTCTTCTCATTGGAGAGTTCCATCTTCTCGCCGGAGAGCTTCTTCCTCTGAAGAGAAGAATTTCTTTTCTCTTCCTCGTTCTTCTTTTCCCCCTTTTCTCTTCGAATTCTAAAATGCACGCTTAGGGTTTTGCGGTTTGCTATTGATATCCCAAATTAAGATGGAGGGTGGCGCTACACCCAATCCAGCGGACGAAGTAGAACGACGACTTAAAGCATTCACTTTATCGGGAAAAAGAAATCAAAGTCATTGATCTTGGTTCAGAGGATGTGAAAGCATGAGTGATAGAATGCCACAATAGACTCTTTGGTAAAATTGTGGGTAACAAGCGTGCCAACCTAGCTGGAGTTAAGAAAGCCATGAGTCTTATCTGCAGATTGAAACACTCAATGGAGGTACGTGAGCTAAGCCCCAATTTCTTTTAGTTCACATTTGAGAATTTGGAGGACATGGATAAAGTGGCAGGAGGAATTAATAGGATTCTAGATAACCAATACCTGGTGTTGACGAGATGGAAGGCAGGTTTAAATAGTAATGACCCTAAATTCAATGAAGTTCGATTCTGGATACAAGTTCATCACATTCCTCTTGATTGGCTTACCACTGAAGTTGGTCTGAAAATAGGAAAAATGTTTAAGTCAGTCTCCAATGTTGTAGTGGGCAATCATGGCATTCAAGGAGGGAGACTTATCAAGCTCCTGGTGACAGTTGACATATATGAACCTCTCCCCAAATGTGCAACCATTAGACTGGGGGATCAGTTAGTTATAGTTACCTTTAAATATGAGCGGCTGGTCAACATGTGCTACTACTGTGGTAAAGTAGGACATATCACAAAAGGTTATGGCCTAAGAATCTATGAAATTGAGCACCAAACTCTAAAAGAAGGCCAGTTTGGAGAATGGATGAAGGCTGGTGAAGGACTACAAGGTCAAAGCTGGAATAATGGTAGCACTTCCCCTGGGCCAGATAGGGAACAACCGTCCTCACAATATAGAGAGAATAATACTATGAATGAAAGCCATGTTCCTAACAAGGAATCACTTGGATTAGCAATTGGAAACTCATGCTCTTAAGCAAGGGGAAGGTTCATCCACAAGTAATAATGATAGAGATATGATTCCATATGATGCATCACTAGGGGTTATTCAAGAGGGGTTACAGGACCCCTTACCTTCTGTCCAAGAGAATATGGAGCCAGAACAAACAGTGCATGAACAACTCATCTCTATTCTTATAATGATGCAAACTGAAGAGGGACTGCAAATGCTAAGGTGTCCCAGGAAAACTTGGAGGTGATCCGGGAAACAGATTGGTAGGCTTCAGAGAATCAAGATTGCCATACCAGGTGATAACACTGGTTTAACTGTCAAGAGAACAAGGGATCAGATAGAAGAAGTACCTCTGGATATCCAAGAAGAATCTCTGCAAAACAGGAAGGAAAAGAAAGCAAAGACTTGCCTTGATAAGGTGTTGAGGGCCAACCTTAAGCCCTCAAGTGACCAATGAGGGCTCTGGTGTGGAACTGTATAGGTCTGGTTGGGCCCTCTACAGTTCCCTAGATCAAGGAAGGCCTAAGGCTCCATCACCCCACTTTTGTCTTTCTATCTAAAATTAAAAAATCAAAAAATTTTACTACTAAGGTTATTTGTCAGTTGGGTTTTTTGGACAGGCATTGTTTGGTTGAACATGCAGGTACTAAAGGGGGACTTCTTTTGATGTGGATGACCAAGTAGAGATTCTTCATACTTATGGCACATCCATCTACATGGCAGTGCAATACAAGGAAGACAGTCAGTCCCAAAGTCAGTGGATTATTTTTGTTTACCTAAGCACCTGTAAAACAGAGACAATGGCCCAATGGTGGATACTGGAGTTGCTCCTATCACCCCTAAGAAGAGGTTTCAGTTTGATAAGAGATGTCTTTCTAAACCAAGAGTAAACAGAGTTGTAAAAGAGGCCTGGGAGACTCCTTCTGAGGGCACTCCAATGTTTTCAGTAAAGGAGAAAATCATGAAAGCTAGACAAGCACTGTGACATGGAGCAGATACTTCAAATCAGATAATGTGGCCAAAATTGAAAGACTGTCAATGTCCTTAGATGAAATGAGAAGAGAAGGTGGTGACCGCAATTAGGAAGTTTGGGATCAGCTCCAAAGAGAATTAGAAGAATCTCACTGCTCAGAGGAGATTTTTTGGCAGCAAATGGCCAGGGCCTTATGGCACAAAGAGGGAGACCGCAATTCAAAATTTTTTCATGCCTTTGCTGCCCATAGAAGAAAGCAAAAATCAGTAATTCGATTGCTAAGCACAACTAATGTCCTCTGTGAAAACCAAAAGGAGACTGAAGAGACCATCACTGGCTATTTTGATAACCTATACACTTCTCAGGGTTCCAGTTGTGGCCATGAATTACTTCCCCTTATCCCCACTACGATTTTCAGAGGAACTCAACAACATTCTCGTGGCACAGGTTGAGGGTGATGATACAAGGAAAGCAGTCTTCAGTATCCACCCACTTAAAGCCCCAGGGGAAGATGGGATGACAGGGTTGTTTTATCAACATTTATGGCCAATCATTAGCAAGGATATCTGAGCAGCAGTCAAGAGTTTTTTTGAATCAGGTCAAATGTTGAGGTACTGGAAACACACCTTAATAACTCTTGTCCCCAAATGCTTGAATCCAGTATCCATCTCCCAATTTAGGCCTATCAGTCTATGCCCTGTCTTTTACAAGGTAATCTCTAAAATACTTGCACTGAGACTGAGACAATGCTTATCTGCTTGTATTTCTGAGAATCAAAATTCCTTCCTACCTGGTAGACAGTTGTTGGATAATGTGGTGATTGGTCATGAGGTTTTTCATGTTTTAAAGAGGCATAAGAGTGGCAATAACTTTTTCACGGCTTTAAAACTGGACATTGTGAAAGCTTTTGATTGTGTTGAGTGGAAAGCTATTCAATTGACAATGCTGAGGATGGGGTTTCACAGACAATTTGTAAAATGGATTTTGGCTTGCATTTCATCTCCTTATTTCTCCTATAACTTGAATGGGAAACCTTGTGGTTATATCTCTGCTACAAGGGCCATTAGACAGGGATCCTCTATCCCTCTATCTATTCCTTATCATCTCAGAGCTATTATCTGCAAAAATTAATGGAGAGTTGAAAGAGGTCACTTCAAAGGAATCAGAAATTCAAGAGATGGCCCCCTGCTCACTCACTTGGTGTTTGCAGATGATACTCTTATCTTTTGCAAAGCAGATGAGCATCAAATCAGGAATTTGGGAGAATCTGAAAGCTTTCCAACTGTTTACTGGCCAGCAAGTTAATATGAATAAATCCACCATCTTTTGTAGCAAAAATGCTCCACTAGCTCTTCAACACCAATGTTGCTCCCTATTGCCTGGAATTCAAATTCATTCATCCATCAGATATTTGGGATTACCCTTAGGCATAGGGAAATCCAAGAAGGAGGCTTTTGAATATATTGTCACCATGGTGAAGAAGAGAATTATTACCTGGAAGAATAAATGGCTCACTAAATTCTCATCAGAGCAGTCCTGAATGCCTTCCCTATTTTTGCTATGTCATGTTTTTTCCTTCCGGTGAGCTTGTGTGCTGAAATTTCCAAAATATGTGCTCAATTCTGGTGGAGCAAGGGCTCAGAGTTCAAGAGAGGAATGCATTGGATTGACTGGAACAAGCTCACACTTGCTAAAAATCATGGAGGATTAGGATTCTAAGATATCCAGTTGTTTAATACAGCCCTCATAGTAAAGCAGCTCTGGAAATTGATAAGTGAGCCAGATAGATTGGTCAGCAAGGTTCTGAAATCCAAATATTTCCTACAAACATCTCTGTTTGAAGCTCAAAAGAAGCAAAACTCATCATGACTGTGGGGTTGTTGGCTCACTGTCTTCAAATCTTGTAAAACCTGGATGCAGAAGGTTGTGAAGAATGGCAGCAACATCAAAGTGTGGGATCAACACTGGATTCCTAACTTTATTGGCAGAGAAGTTGAGAATTTGCCAGGAAGGGATAGAGGGATTGAAAATATTAGAGATCTAATGAACTCAAATGGGAGCTGCTGGGATGAACTCAAAATCAGGAGAACCTTTTCTCCCCCATTCTGTCAAGCAATCCTCAACATCAACTCTATAGACCCCAACCAAAGGATGAATGGGCCTGGGATCTCCATAAGAAAGGCATGTTCTCAGTTCACTCCACCTATTCCCATTTCATCACAGAGAAGTTTCTAAAGATAGCCAATCCTCAAAGCAGTAGAGACTACCACCTAGATGCCAGAGTTAGAGCCAGAAGCTGGAAGCTTAAAGTTCTGGGCAAAATTAAGCATTTTATCTGGAAATGCTATTCAGAAACTCTTCCAGTGTTCATGAACTTTCATAGCAGAGGCATTCAGATTGATCCAGTGTGTAGGCAGTGTGGGGAGGAGCTGGAAACAATTGAACATATCTTCTTTCATTGCAGGTATGCTCAACTTGTTTGGAAGTTGACACCTCTGAGCTGGATTGGTCCTACAAGCAATGAAACCTTTAAATCTTGGTGGTGGAACATCTGTCAGTTGGATAAAGTGAGACTTCCGAAGCCCGCATACAACTTTCAACATACATACTTTGGTGGCTATGGAGGTCTCGTAACTTGTTTGTGTTTGAAACAACCGCCTGCCCTCTCCCTGGTCAAGATAGCTACCCAGCAATGGTTAGAATTCCTGCAGAATGGAAGGTGACATGTCGTTGGGTTTGTCTTGGTTCTGTGTTTGTCAGTTTTAGTAGTTTGTTGTTTGGTTTTAGTTGCATTGTTCTTTTGGTTGTTGTTCTGCTCTTTAGATTAGTAGTTTGTTTTTGATTTTAGGTGTGGTTGTATGGATTATTGGTTCGGTCGAGTTTGACTGCTCTAATCCCATGTTGTTTGAAGTGGTTTAGTATTGTGGTTGTCATATGTTCTAGCCCACTTATGTGTGGTGGTCGCATTCTCCGGTTAAGGGTCCTTGTAAACTTTTATTTGTATTTATGAGATAATCTATCGTTCGGAGGAAAAAGAAAAAAGATTAGTACCTTACTACCTTCTATCCGGTTGGTAAACACACACCATTAATTGCCACTCATCTGTCATTAGACTCATTACTCATTACATACGAAAAGTTAGAAAAAATCACTCTTTAAACCAATTTAAAATACAAAAATTATTTACACTCGCTAGAAGGTCCATCTCATCATTAGGCCAGCAAACAACCCTCTCTCAAACCCACAACTGGAATTTAATAAAATTCTTCCAATCACAAAATATTTTCTTTTATTTCTGTTTCTATTTTCTTATTGCCATCTCTCTCTCTCTCTTGTTGCGCGCTCTCTCTCTCTCCCCCTCTCTTTTCTTGCTGAAAACAAGAGGGAATTATTCATTGGGCACATTTGGGTTTGGCCGCATTCCTCAGAGTAACTAATTATATAATCATTCCGTGCAAATTGCTCATTTAATTTCGATGCATTTTCCCTCGTGAGATTCACCGCTCCCTCTCTGTCTCTCTCCCCAGATCCCACATTTTGATTTCAATTCTCTTTGGATGCCATTTCTAGACTCTCCTTTCTGATTCGAAAAGTTCAATCTATTTACTTATTCCAGTTTTGTTATCATCTGGGTTTTCCTTCAAACCCGTTAACCCGCTGCAAAAATCGCTTTTTAACCCAACCCACGTTCGCAATTGCTCACCTATTAATCCACTGTAAAAATTGCATCTTTAACGAACCCACATTCGCAATTGCTCACATACTTGAAATGTGCCTGTTTCTGTGTGGGAAAAATTGAATATTTTGCAACAAAGTTTGGGTTATGGTTTCCGGTGATTTTGTCGATATGAATTTTCGGTCGTGGTGAAATGAGACGTCAATGGAGGCGATTAGATCAGAGAGAAGTTTGGAGAAACTGCCGCCATTGCAGGGGCCTGTGGTGCAGAGGACAAGAATGCAGGTGTGGTTTATTAGGGTTTGTTCTAGCATACTAATATGGACGTGTTTGGTTCAACTTGTGGCAGTTGGGGAACTCTGGCATCCTCGTTTGCTCACTGGTTATTCGGGATTTACAAAAATGTCGGCTCATCGAGAGGAATCACTGTTGCCTTCTTATCCACCGGCTAGTCAGTATTATCTTTCCTTTTCCTTTTTTTTTTTTCCTGGAGTGTTAATTTTTGTGTAAGTGTTGTGGATCTGGCGATTTTGCAGTAGTGACTGGGAAATTTCTCAGAGTGAGGTGGGGATCTTTTGCGAATAGAGGATCATGGCATTGCTTGATGTTATGTTTTTCCATTTCAGTAGTATGTTAAAGTTTTGGTTTTGAATTTTTTAGGATTTTTCGTGATCTATTTATTTATTTAGTTTTCCTTTTATCCTGTTTATTTTATCTGTTTACTGGGTGCATTTGCTGGTTAATTTATGCTGTGTTATAGTTCTCTGTTATGATATTTGTTCTCATAGGCAAACTTGTTGATTTAAGTGTTTTTGGGTATGATAATTTACGGAATGTTAGGATTATCGTTTGCAAGTAAAAAAAGACAAGAAGTTGGTTTTGAGAAGTGAATTGTGCTATTCTCAAGAGTCGTTGCAAGTTTGTTTTGTTTTATGATGTTGCTTTGGCAACAAGGTTTGTTTTTGTCTCACATGTGACTGACTCAACATGGTGCTGTATGTAACTTATGTTTAAGATGTACATGCAAGATGGCTTCATTATTCTAGGAGATGTGTATGTATCTAACTAAATATATGTCTAACTCGGCCCTTGGGTCCAATAAGCATTGCCAAATCAATATTTGAAATTTTATGATGTGTTATTGGGCTCATTTAAATAAAAGTTTGGTACTAGTATATGATTGTGCACTTCATGATGATTTTCCAGGGAACTACACAAGTAACGGCTTTCTTAGAGTCACTTGCAATGGCGGCTTGAATCAAATGCGCTCGGAGGTTTGAATTATTATATGTATCAATACTTCATTTTTCAATCTCATTATGTTTCACGTTTTCTAATATTGCTCCTTCTGGCTTTTCAGATTTGTGACATGGTCACAGTTGCTCGTCTTTTAAATCTTACATTGGTTGTTCCTGAACTTGATAAGGCATCGTTTTGGGCAGACCCTAGGTACTTTTCACGAAATGAAAGTATTCATGTCAATTTCGTTTAATGCACTTTTCAAATTAAAGAAGTATCAACATGCAGCAATTTTGAAGATATATTTGACGTGGGGCATTTCATAAATTCGTTAAGAGATGAAGTCCGAGTTGTTAAGAGGTTACCTAAAAAATTTGGGCTGCGGTATGGATATCAACCACTTGTGATGCCTCCTATTAGCTGGTCAAATGAGCAATACTACTTGCAACAGGTTAAGTTTGTTGCTTTTCACCACTGTCTTTGAAGAATGCCACTAAAATTTTAGCTATGTGGACCCTTCAACCACCTAAACACTGAAAATATAGAAAGATGATGTTTTAAAAGCAGAAAAGATTTCCGGAGGGAAGAACTATAGAGAGGAAACAACTTCTGAAATTTGTCAGTTAAAATATATACTGAAGGGCTTATAAGTTGCAAAAAGAAAATGATAAAGCTGCTTGGAAGCTTATGAATATTATACTGTTTCTGAGACTTTATGGGGATCCAAATCTAAATTTAGGTTTTTTCGATTGGGATTTAGATGCGAATTTTATTCAGTTCCAAATCTACATTGCAGATTCTACCTCTCTTTGAGAAGCACAAAGTGATACACTTCAACCGAACAGATTCGCGGTTGGCTAACAATGGGATCCCACTTGAGCTTCAGAGACTCAGATGCCGTGTAAATTTCCAGGCATTAAAGTTTACACCTGAGATCGAGGAACTTGGTAACAAGTTGATTCGCATTATCCGGCAAAAGGGGCCCTATGTAGCATTGCATTTGAGATATGAGATGGATATGTTGGCTTTCTCAGGCTGCACTCATGGCTGCTCTGTAGAGGAAGCTGAGGAGCTTCGGCAGATGAGGTTAGTTTAATGCTTAAAAAATCTTTCAAAGTAAATGTACAATTTCCCATGAGAATAACAAGAGTGTGATTTGTGTATTGCTTGTGATTTATATGACAAAGAAACTTACATGAGAAGTTAGTAAGAATTTAATAGTCTTGCATATTTTAGTAAATTATAGGCGGTATGACTTTGTAGTTCATCCTTAGTATTTCTTTTTACCTCTGAAGTGGGAAGCATAAATCCTCGATCTATATATAGCAAATTCATGACTGCCCTTCATTTTCCCTGTCTCGTTTTCCGTACTTCAATTTCTGGTTTAGATACGCATTTCCTTGGTGGAGAGAGAAAGAGATAATATCTGAAGAGAGGAGGTCTCATGGCTTATGCCCTCTTACCCCTGAAGAAACTTCTTTGATTTTGCAAGCTTTGGGTTTTGAGAAGGATACACAAATATATATTGCATCTGGCGAGATATATGGAAGTGAAAGGAGACTTGCGGCACTAAGAGCCGCCTTTCCCAGGATTGTGAGTCGTTCATTTTCTTTTATCTTTGATCTTTTATGCATGTCCCTATGGCTATGTATAATGCATTCATCTTTAAAGATAGGTTTGCACATTAGCTAATCTGATTTTATATTTTTTTTTAGTATTTCATGAAATAAGAGGATTATAGGAGATGCTATCTTTCTTAAAGATTTGGCATCCTGATATATATATGTGCGGATGGAGAATCATTTTTCATTTCTTCTAGCATCACTGTTTCAGAATTCTGTGGCCAGTGGACTTTTATCCTAATTGGAAAATTTTGGGAAACAAATTGAATGACTTTTAATTAGCATTTTTAGTTATGTTGAGACCTTTCTGCTGCTGTTAGTAAAGGAATATCGATTACTTTTGTTACTTTTTGTAGCAAATTAAATGCATATTCTTATTATGTGTGAAAATGTGAAACAAGACTATTAAATGGGACGGTTGATAATTTTATTAAGTTGCCTGTTCTCTAAAACTGTACTTTCACTTGGGTTTCAGGTGAAAAAGGAGATGCTGCTGGATCCGAATGAACTGCGTCAGTTTCAGAATCATTCGTCTCAAATGGCAGCACTCGATTTTATAGTTTCTGTTGCAAGTGATATATTTATCCCCACATATGATGGGAACATGGCAAGGGTTGTTGAAGGTCATCGTAGGTAACCAGGATAATATATCTTATTACTATTATTATTATTATTAATATTGTTGTTGTTGTTATTATTTTGCTCTTTGCGAATGTCTTTTGATTTTCGTTTTCAGTCTCATAATGTGAGCATTTGCAAAAATTTCTGCGTTTTATGGACGTGATGGGTGATTATTGTGGTGCAAGAGAAAATTAAATGTGGATAAATTGCAAAAACATCTCAAGTATTCCACTCATTAGATTATTTTGAATCAGAAAAATCTTTTCCACTTATAAATGTTGCAAACTCCCTGTCTGATTTTTGCAGGTATCTCGGTTTCAAAAAGACCATCCAACTGGACCGCAAAAAGCTTGTACAGTTATTGGATTTACATCAAAATGGAACTTTCTCATGGGATGAGTTTTCAGCTGCCGTTCGATTTTCTCATGAGAAAAGAATGGGGCAGCCAGCTCCTCGTTTGGTTATAGCAAATAAACCCAAAGAAGAAGATTATTTTTATGCCAACCCACACGAATGCCTGTGTGAAGGCTCAAATTGTTCCGCCCAATGGAATTCAACTTTTGTCCAGTGACAATGGGCCATGAAGCTCGGATTTGTTTGGATATTTTGTATTCTGGGCTGAGTGTAGGAGTAGAAGAGGGGAGTGTACAAAGAGATGCCACTTCAGTAAGCAAAGGCTTCGTGGATTTGGCAAAACAAGCTCTCTGGAAATTGCAAGTTGCCGGCTTTTTAAAGTTTTCATCTAGGTATGTGGAATATAGTCTTCACACAGCATGAGTTTTTGCGAGTAATAATAGTTGAAAATGTAAAAAAAGATTACTTGAAAATGTAGTGTTAAAGCTTGAGGTTTAAGGATTACTTCCATTAATTTTGTTAATAACATGCAGTTTGATTTTTGTTTTTCATGATTTTTCAGTGTCCTGCACTTTGATAATGTAGCTAATTTATACACAAGATGCTCTTTCATTTGTATTGTGGAGTAACATGCAAACTATCAATTTCACTGGACAAAAGTTTTTTTCCTTTTTTTTGTTTTTTCATGGGTATCTGATATTTAGCTGGCTCCTTCGGTTTATTATGCTACAGCTAGAAAAATGCGGATATTTTGAGGGGGGAAAAAGAAAAGAAAAAAGAAAATTATCGATATAAAGTGTTGCATGAGAAATCGTGCTTCTCTTGTCTTCTGAATGTAAATTTGGATCTAACTTAATGACAAGGCTAAAGGTAATTTGAGTTTTAGATATGAATCATTGCCCGAGTAATGTTGCTTCTTCTATTATCTTCTGTAGATAGGTGAATTTGGATATAACTCATGACAGGGCTTGGGGGATTTGGCTCCATGGAATAATTTTCACATTACCAAGTGGACTGATTACAATTTAGGGATAATTACAAGGCTGCCATTAAAGGTTATTCCAATTACAATAATCTCTAGTCATGTCAGTTCTGGGATTGACAAAATAAGGGCAAGCAGTAAATGCATCTTGAATTACAGTATTACACACAGCAACAACAATTCTAAAATACTTCACACTCACACATTCTTCATGTACAACTATTATTAGAACTCGCACCATGTATTGCTGAGTCAACACATGACAAATTGAAGCAAAATTAATCTGAAAATCCCATCTGGACCAAAATTTGTTGGCTTAAATACTGAAATATTTCCCTTTATTTTGTTTGTGTGTACTGTTTGTTATTTAGGCTCCCAGAAAATGATTTCACCTTGTTCTCCAACCAGGCCAAGATCCTTGAGCCTTCTTTCTTGGTAATATTCAAGAATATCCAACTCTGACTCCCTTTCTTTGAATATATTATCAATTTGCTGCAATACCCTTTTCTCACCTCTTCTTATCCCAATTGCCACTTCAAGCCTTGGACTCAGATTTCCTTCCTCCAAGAGCTTTTCATCCTGAAATTTTTTATTCCTTATGTAAGCTCATGAGCCTAAGGTAAAGTTATTGACTTTTTTCATCTTTTAGCAGAAGCGAACAAGATAAGAAAAAACGCAGTTTCCTGTATTTCAAATGCCGATAGCTGACTTATACTTCTGATTCTCCATCATAAATAAGAATTTAGTAATATGATCATAGCCTAATAAGTGCTTTAGATTCTTGATCATGCTACATATCTCCACTTCGAAAACAAAATCACCACAATAATAATAATAGTAATAATAAAGGATAACAAATACATCAAGCAACTATGAAAGCCAAGCAAGAGTAAGAGTACCTCCTCAATGGTGGTATGATAGCCAGACAGTGCAGATTTGCATGCATCACGAACTACTTTACATATGAGCTCTTCATTCGAACGGCTGATGGGCAATTCAAGATGACCCCAAATCGAGTTTCTGAAAATCGACTCCAATAAAAAAGCATCAGATCCTCCAATTGCCACCAGCCTCAGATACTGAAGCATGCCAGTCGGGAGTGGCTGCCCATACTTTATGTCGAAATATGCGGTTTGTCCAAAGCTGTTCTGTTCGGCTATATCCAATTTATCCGAGAAAAACTCGTCCGACTCTGATATTTCGAGCGTGAGAGTAAACGCATCACGATCTGATCCTGCTTCTATGAACCCATAGTCGAGAGCCATATCAGCATTGCTTTTTTTCAAATTGTATTGGATATAAATCTGGCCAGAGAGGAAAAATCAAAAGAGATAATTGAGAATTGAAGTTTAATTGAGAATCTAAGCTAAAAATTGTCTTGCAAATAGAAGCTTAAATTTGAATGAATAAAAAAGTTGGTGCTTTGTTATGAATAATTGTAATGAACTCATTGATGCACAAAGTTTGAGCAAGAAGCAGAATCAGAAACAAAAGTTGACATATAAAGTCACATTTTTTTCTGTTTTTGAAGTATTTGTCAAGAATCATTCTAATGAAAAAAAATAAAAATGAAAACATTTAAATGCACCTGCTCACCAGCCTTGAGAGATAAAGGGCTCTTTACTTGAAACAGAAAGTCCCAGGAAAAAAGACCGGCAGCTCCCGTAACCTCACGAGCATGATCTTCGGAGGTTACTTTGGCGTTGTGGTTCAACTGAGGCAAACAAAAGGATTGTATACAGTTTGTTCAATTCATAAGATCAATTTAGAAAAATCCACTTTAGTTTTATTTACTGATCAACATACATTCCACGAATTTAGGAAGTATTGCAAATATTCATGGCCGAGATTAATTGTTTTCCCCTTTCATATTCAGGTTAGAGCTTGATGACTATTTAGTAACTAACCTAATATTATGCTAGTGTTTGGTTTTTGCTAACTAAGGAGTTGCAAATACTGAATATAAATCCATGGAGTCGGGACATTTTACCAAGTCGGCAAAGGGGATAACAACAAGATTTTCATTACGAAGACGAGAAAATGCCCTTGATCTGAGTATTGCAAATGCCCACATGAAATCTTCCAATGTTATAGGAAAAGGGAATAATTGCTTGTTTGCTAGTATGATTTCCTCTTCCACTTTACGAAACTCATTCTCGACATGCTCTTTCACACCCAATGTGGTCCTCAGTAGTTGGGTTCCTNAAAAAAACAGAACAAATAGAAATTAATAGTTGCACAGAAATGAATAATAAATCATCTTTCATCTTCAAGGTCCCATTCATCCACAACATCCCAACTCAAAATTTCAGCTCAACTTTAGAGTTCACTTCAGACTCCTGAAACATACCAAGGGTCTTTGAAAAAACCACTCCTGTGTTAAATAACCTCATAACCGAACTAACTCAGTTTTTTTTGTTACTTACAATTTAACTCCAAAACGTGTTGCTTTGGGTTTATATGAATAGTGTCGTCCATGTAAATGTTAGGCAAGACACGAGTCAAAAGAGGCCGTTTCTGAATTCTGAGGACATTGTACGTAAAAAATGATATAAGTAATGTAGAGTTATACTAGGAGATCATGCCACGTACATTATGTCGAAATGTATGTCAACCTTTATGTTCTTGTAGTATAATGATTAGGCTAAACTCAAGAGTAGCTTGTAATAACTCGTGAAAACAAGTATTGGAAGTAAAACATACAACAAACATGAATATCCCCACTGCTCAACCAATCGGGACAATAATCAATAAGCATTTATTTCATGAGACAATGAGCCGAGAGCAACTCAAGAAAAACACGATCATAATACCATATAACTATATCCACTCAGTAGAACTTAAAATGGTTCTACATTAACCAAAAAATAAAAATAAAAAAAATCCGATCATTCAAACTTTAACCACCAAACAACACGTCTAATCGCAATAAATCACTAACCCCGAATCTCCAGAAGCTCCTCTTCTGACCTGCACTGAAGTAAAACACATAAAACTACATAATCAAAACAAAAAACAACATTAATCAAACACAAACACAAAAGCAAACAACAAAGACTGGAATTTTCATCCAAACCCACCAATATATAGTCGAATCAGTACCCTTGGGAAGAACATCAATATAATATTTCCACTTAGACCCCTCCCCCTTAAACCTCTCACTCAGCAGAAATAGGGCAACAGCAATCCAGTGTTTCAACCCAGAACAAACAATTCCAATATCCGAGGTCTCAGCAGCACTCTTATTGATCCATAGCCTCTTGGGCACCTCCAAAACGACCTCGTTTTTCGCAATGGCCCGAGTTGCCACGAGCCCCAAACCCTCGGGCACGACCCCAGGCTCCACTGGCGTCTTGGCCGACACTATTCCTTCGTCTTTCAGCCATTGCCAGAATCTATGAACCGTATGAGGGATTTTCGGGTCGGGATTTACTGGTGAGAGGGCCGATTGTGGGATGAATGATTTTCTCCTGCTGCTGTGAGAAACTGGTTTTGAGGTCAGGAATGAGATAAAGTGTGTTCTTTTCGGGCTACTGAGCATCGGAGGTGAAGGTGAAGGATGGATATTGAATGCAGATGACATTTTTCTTTTCCCTTTCTTTCTGGTTATTCAGTTGCTCGTAGCTCTGCGTGCAAAGTTGGAAGCAGCAGAGCAGATGAGGTTGTTGAATATTTGGATTTATAGCTTCTAATTTTATTATCTTTTATCGTTTTCTTTTTTTATTGTTTGGCAAGTTCAATCCAATTTTTTTTTTCATTTTTAACTCAACCACTTTTTTTAACTCAACTTTAACTCAACCCACTATCATTAATATTATCAATATAATTAAATAATATCAATCAATCATTCTTACACACCTTAATTCACTATTCATCTACTCACATAAATTTAACTAACTATCACATCATATCTTCTCTCTCTTACTTTTACATCAATTTAATTTTAATTATTTTATTTTAAATATTATTTTATTACATCCACTAACAACTAACCATACCTACTTTTTCAAATTTAACCAACCCAAATCAAAAATCCAATCAAAACAAAAACAAATTTATATCCAATCATGCTCGTAATGTTTAAAAAACCACTTTTGGTATACAATTTTATAATTTCCAAATTATGTTTTGTCATAAATATTCAAAAGAAAAATTAAATTTTCTCTCCCCAATCAAACCATATAGTTAATTAATTTAATTACATATAAATTTAATTAAATTATTGCATAAAAAATGATTTCTTTCATCTCTCTTTTATTCTCATTGATGTTTTCTATCTCCTCTCTTCTCTCCTTTCCGTTTTTCTTTTCATCTCTCATCATTTTTCAAAACGATAGATTTCATTAATAAACACATATTTACGAACTAGAAACTAATTGATAGCAGCTGAATGGGGCAACTACACAACTGTATCCAAAGGAAGGATATTCTAAAGGGAAGCCTAGACTACCACAAACTCACCCGCAATAATACAATACTCTCATAAGTGGAGAATAATGACTCCCAGCAGGAGAATCAACACGTAATACAAGCACAGAAAAACATATATCACACATAAACTACAAACTAGAATAACTACAATAATGCCCTCCCCACCAGCTGCCCAACCACTTCGAACCTGATGAAAAAACAAGGACAAATGCACGGACCTAGAAACTCCCTTCGAAGCAACGGCCTACTATATTCAGACCATGTCAGTTCACCCTCCCAAAGGAAACACCTGTAGGAAAACACCAGGAGGCACATGTCAATCCTAATATCAATCAATCATTCTTACACACCTTAATTCACTATTCATCTACTCACATAAATTTAACTAACTATCACATCATATCTTCTCTCTCTTACTTTTACATCAATTTAATTTTAATTATTTTATTTTAAATATTATTTTATTATATCCACTAACAACTAACCATACCTACTTTTTCAAATTTAACCAACCCAAATCAAAAATCCAATCAAAACAAAAACAAATTTATATCCAATCATGCTCGTAATGTTTAAAAAACCACTTTTGGTATACAATTTTATAATTTCCAAATTATGTTTTGTCATAAATATTCAAAAGAAAAATTAAATTTTCTCTCCCCAATCAAACCATATAGTTAATTAATTTAATTACATATAAATTTAATTAAATTATTGCATAAAAAATGATTTCTTTCATCTCTCTTTTATTCTCATTGATGTTTTCTATCTCCTCTCTTCTCTCCTTTCCGTTTTTCTTTTCATCTCTCATCATTTTTCAAAACGATAGATTTCATTAATAAACACATATTTACGAACTAGAAACTAATTGATAGCAGCTGAATGGGGCAACTACACAACTGTATCCAAAGGAAGGATATTCTAAAGGGAAGCCTAGACTACCACAAACTCACCCGCAATAATACAATACTCTCATAAGTGGAGAATAATGACTCCCAGCAGGAGAATCAACACGTAATACAAGCACAGAAAAACATATATCACACATAAACTACAAACTAGAATAACTACAATAATGCCCTCCCCACCAGCTGCCCAACCACTTCGAACCTGATGAAAAAACAAGGACAAATGCACGGACCTAGAAACTCCCTTCGAAGCAACGGCCTACTATATTCAGACCATGTCAGTTCACCCTCCCAAAGGAAACACCTGTAGGAAAACACCAGGAGGCACATGTCAATCCTAATATCAATCAATCATTCTTACACACCTTAATTCACTATTCATCTACTCACATAAATTTAACTAACTATCACATCATATCTTCTCTCTCTTACTTTTACATCAATTTAATTTTAATTATTTTATTTTAAATATTATTTTATTATATCCACTAACAACTAACCATACCTACTTTTTCAAATTTAACCAACCCAAATCAAAAATCCAATCAAAACAAAAACAAATTTATATCCAATCATGCTCGTAATGTTTAAAAAACCACTTTTGGTATACAATTTTATAATTTCCAAATTATGTTTTGTCATAAATATTCAAAAGAAAAATTAAATTTTCTCTCCCCAATCAAACCATATAGTTAATTAATTTAATTACATATAAATTTAATTAAATTATTGCATAAAAAATGATTTCTTTCATCTCTCTTTTATTCTCATTGATGTTTTCTATCTCCTCTCTTCTCTCCTTTCCGTTTTTCTTTTCATCTCTCATCATTTTTCAAAACGATAGATTTCATTAATAAACACATATTTACGAACTAGAAACTAATTGATAGCAGCTGAATGGGGCAACTACACAACTGTATCCAAAGGAAGGATATTCTAAAGGGAAGCCTAGACTACCACAAACTCACCCGCAATAATACAATACTCTCATAAGTGGAGAATAATGACTCCCAGCAGGAGAATCAACACGTAATACAAGCACAGAAAAACATATATCACACATAAACTACAAACTAGAATAACTACAATAATGCCCTCCCCACCAGCTGCCCAACCACTTCGAACCTGATGAAAAAACAAGGACAAATGCACGGACCTAGAAACTCCCTTCGAAGCAACGGCCTACTATATTCAGACCATGTCAGTTCACCCTCCCAAAGGAAACACCTGTAGGAAAACACCAGGAGGCACATGTCAATCCTAATATCAATCAATCATTCTTACACACCTTAATTCACTATTCATCTACTCACATAAATTTAACTAACTATCACATCATATCTTCTCTCTCTTACTTTTACATCAATTTAATTTTAATTATTTTATTTTAAATATTATTTTATTATATCCACTAACAACTAACCATACCTACTTTTTCAAATTTAACCAACCCAAATCAAAAATCCAATCAAAACAAAAACAAATTTATATCCAATCATGCTCGTAATGTTTAAAAAACCACTTTTGGTATACAATTTTATAATTTCCAAATTATGTTTTGTCATAAATATTCAAAAGAAAAATTAAATTTTCTCTCCCCAATCAAACCATATAGTTAATTAATTTAATTACATATAAATTTAATTAAATTATTGCATAAAAAATGATTTCTTTCATCTCTCTTTTATTCTCATTGATGTTTTCTATCTCCTCTCTTCTCTCCTTTCCGTTTTTCTTTTCATCTCTCATCATTTTTCAAAACGATAGATTTCATTAATAAACACATATTTACGAACTAGAAACTAATTGATAGCAGCTGAATGGGGCAACTACACAACTGTATCCAAAGGAAGGATATTCTAAAGGGAAGCCTAGACTACCACAAACTCACCCGCAATAATACAATACTCTCATAAGTGGAGAATAATGACTCCCAGCAGGAGAATCAACACGTAATACAAGCACAGAAAAACATATATCACACATAAACTACAAACTAGAATAACTACAATAATGCCCTCCCCACCAGCTGCCCAACCACTTCGAACCTGATGAAAAAACAAGGACAAATGCACGGACCTAGAAACTCCCTTCGAAGCAACGGCCTACTATATTCAGACCATGTCAGTTCACCCTCCCAAAGGAAACACCTGTAGGAAAACACCAGGAGGCACATGTCAATCCTAATATCAATCAATCATTCTTACACACCTTAATTCACTATTCATCTACTCACATAAATTTAACTAACTATCACATCATATCTTCTCTCTCTTACTTTTACATCAATTTAATTTTAATTATTTTATTTTAAATATTATTTTATTATATCCACTAACAACTAACCATACCTACTTTTTCAAATTTAACCAACCCAAATCAAAAATCCAATCAAAACAAAAACAAATTTATATCCAATCATGCTCGTAATGTTTAAAAAACCACTTTTGGTATACAATTTTATAATTTCCAAATTATGTTTTGTCATANTGTTGTTGGTTGATGTTAGTAAGTAGCGCCCGTTTCTCGAAAAAGGTTTAAACTTGGATTTAAAAAAAAAAAAAACTCTGATTTTTATTAAATAAATTCGATAAATTCTTTAAAATAAAACGGGGCGTTACATCTGCCCTGATGCTTGTCGAAATTGGCTGGTGCAGCACACGTCAGTGAGAGGGCTCCGTTGAAAATGAATCGAGAGTTACAGTAAGAGGATTTTAGGTATTGCTATAGTAAAGAGAAAAAGGGGAAGGTAAGTGGAGACTCTCTCTTATTCACTTTCCATTTTTCTATGTTCTATNACTCAACAACTACATATTATGGGTGAATTTTTTCTTATGCATTATTTTAACTTTTACAATTTTATTAATTATAGAAAAATTTGATATAAGATAAACGAGAAATAAACTATATAAAGATTTAAAAAATAACAAAATAAATTGTTTGATCGTATACTCAACAAACTAGTATTATTAAATAAAATTATATGAATATATATATAGAGAGATGAGATCATATGAAAAAGAAGGATAGTGAAAGAATTAAGAATAAATATGTGTCATTAGATCCATCATATCTATAGTCAAGATGAAGTCAAATTTTAGTAAATAATAGTCAATCAGCTAATGGCGATGTCGTAAATAAATATACCTATCATGGTCAAATATACATATTTTACCACAAACTAAGGACATTTAAGTCATTACATAATCATCCATTATCCATGGGCCCCACCAATCCCAACAAC